AAACAGGGAGGCAGAGATTGCAGTGAGCGGAGATCATGCCACTGCACTCCAGCCTGGGCAACAGAGCAAGACTCCATCTCAAAAAAAAAATTCATAGGGTTATAGCACAATATCTACAGAGAGATCTATAGGATATAATTTTGAGAAAAATGGTCATGCCTGGTGTTGACTACTTTCTCAACAGTACTGATTAGTTATCTGGTTGGTCTTTTTTTCTCTTTTTTTTGTTGAGACAGAGTCTCACTTTGTTGCCCAGGCTAGAGTGAAGTGGCATGATCTCTGCTCACTGCAACCCCCACCTCCTGGGTTCAAGTGATTCTCCTGCCCCAGCCTCTGGAGTAGCTGGGATTACAGGCGTGCACCACCATGCCTGGCTAATTTTTGTATTTGTAGTAGAAACGGGGTTTTACCATGTTGGCCAGGCTGATGTCAAACTCCTGACTTCAGGTGATTTACCCACCTTAGCCTCCCAAAGTGCTAGGATTACAGGTGTGAGCCACCACGCCTGCCCCTGGTTGGTCTTAAATAGCAGGGCACAGCCCTCTACATCCTGAGATTAAAAAGATAAAGTCATTAGGTGGCCATGTTGTGAACATCTCATTGACAAAGGCTTTGCTTCAATTGTTGATGATGATGATGCTGTTGGCCTCTGCTTTGCTCACAGTTAAATGCATTAAATAAACATTTCTGACTATCAGTGCACTCTTGAGGGCCCTCAGCTTAACTGGGACGAAATGGCTTCAAAAGTAAGTAAAGGAATTCATGTTGCATTTGACAAACCTAAGCTCCTCCCTAAACCTTCATCTAAATAAGAGATTTTTTCACTGGGTTTCTAGAAGTCCGTTTCTGGAGGACAGAGACAAGCAAGTTTATTTACGTGTCTTCACATCTGCCTGACACACAGGAAGTGCTCAGCAAGGTGGTTTTATGAACGGCTTTCATGCCTGACATGGACAAGCCACTGCTTCCACTTACAACAAGACGTGCCAAGTTGCAGGGATTTCTCCTGGAGAGGTACTTGAGGTGAGAGAGAAACCTTCATGCCTGTTAAGTCCATAAATCTATCTGCTGTGTGCTCAGCCTTGAGTGTCCATGGGAATGAATATGTGGACAGGTGAGGGTTCTGGCTGTCCTGCATGTTGGCTGAAACTCTATTGTTTTTTGTTTGTTTTTGTTTTTTCCTGAAGCCGAGTTTCGCTCTTGTTGCCCAGGCTGGAGTGCAATGGCAACCTCTGCCTCCCAGCTTCAAGTGATTTTCCTGCCTCAGCCTCTCAAGTAGCTGGGATTACAGGCATGTGCCACCATGCCTGGTTAATTTTGTATTTTTAGTAGAAAAGGAGGTTTCACCATGTTGGTTAGGCTGGTCTCAAACTCCTAACTTCAGGTGATCTGCCTGCCTTGGCCTCCAAAAGTGCTGGTATTACAGGTGTGAGCCACCACGCCTGGCCTCAAAGCTTTGTTATTGTAACAAGTGATGTCTGGCAGCCTTGTCTTCTAAGGAAGGGCCCAGTAGAGTGGTGGGAAAAGCATGAGACACGGAGGACCAGACGTGGTGGCTCACTCCTGTAATCCCAGCACTTTGGGAGGCCATGGTGGGTGGACTGCTTGAGGCCAGGAGTTCAAGACAAGTCTGGCCAACATGTTAAAACCCTGTCTCTACTAAAATTACAACATAGTTGGGGCATAGTGGCTCACACCTGTAATCATGGATATTCAGGAGGCTGAGACAGGAGAATTGCTTGAACTCAGGAGGAAGAGGCTGTAGTGAGCTGAGATCAAGCCACTGCATGCTAGCTTGGGCAACAGAGACTCTGTCTCAAAAAAAGAAGAAAAGAAAAGCATAGACACAGACTCTAAGAATCTGCTTCTACATATTTACTGTGCGCAGTTATCTATCACCGCAAGACAAATTACCCCAACACAGTGGCTTAGAACTATTGACACAGACCTTCTCTTTGACCAAACTTGAGTCAGGGTTCCCTCGGTCTTCTCAACGAGGTTTTAACCTTGCCTTTGAAAAACGCAAAATCTTGACAGAGCAATTCTGTTCACCCTCACACTAAGAGACTTGAAAACATACTAGCCCGCTTTCTAATAGCTCAAGGTCATGTCCCTGGCATGACCCAGCTCCTCTTGGGTTCCCGCCTAGAAAAGCTCATGGCTACCGAAAGAATTTACTGTTTGAGATTTGTATAGACCCGATGACTGCCTTATCTAACATTTCTCTGAAAAGAGCCCGCCACCCACTCTTTGTAAGTTTCCACTTACCCAACTGCATCTGACTCCACCTCAGCTCCTCCTGCTTGTTCCTCCCCCATCCTCCCTCATCCTCCACTTAAGAATGCCCAGTCACTGCCAGGTGTGGAGGCGCACGCCTGTAATCTCAACACTTTGGGAGACTGAGGCAGGAGAATTGCTTGAACCTGGGAGGCAGAGTTTGCACTAAGCAGAGATTGCTCCACTGCACTCCAGCCTGGGCGACAGAGTGAGACTCCATCTCAAAAAAAAAAAAAAAAAAAAAAAAAGCCCAGGCACCTCTGCATGGCTGAGAGTGGAGCTCAGCCGCTGACATCTCTGCCTTATTGCAGGAGTCTCAGTAAAGTCCAACCTGCTGTCTTTAATAAGTGTCTGGCTCTGTTTCTCTTTGACACTGCAATAAATAGTAATTAACTCACAGTTTCAGTGGGCCAGGAATTCAGGAGAGCCTTAGCTGGGTGGTTCTGGCTCAGGGTCTCTGAAGATGTGGATCAGGGCTGTATTCATCTGAAGGCTTGTCTTGGGCTGGAGGGTCTGCTTCCAAGGTGGCATACTTACATGGCTGATGACTTGGTGCTGGCTATTGGTGGCAGGCCTCAGTTTCCACCACATGGGCCTTGCCACAAGGCAGTTCGAGTGTCCTAGTGACATGGCAGCTGGTTCTCCCCAAGAATGAAGAGAGGAGAGCAAGCTGGGGGCTGCAGAGTCTTTCATGACCCAGCCTTGGGAGTCCCGAAGGGTCAGTTCTGCAGTGTCCTGTTGATTTCATAGATTCTATTCCCTGTGGGAGGGACTCCAAAGGTGTGGACACTGAGGCAGCAATCACTGGGGGATATCTTGGAGGCTGGCTGCATGACCTTGCTCGTAATCTGTGCTGTGACCTTGGGCCCGTCACTTGGAACTCTCCAGGCTGGAACAGTAAGGATAGGCGAGCCCTGACCTGCGAGGGCCGGCCTGGGCCTGACTTTACCTTCCATTAAGCAAGAGTGATGTGCAGAATGAAAGAGTTAACATGCCCAGAGAGGCATTTCTCACAGAGAGTAACTCATCTGCCAGGGTCTGGCCCAGTTCCTAGAATAGGGCTGCTTATTTTGTGGGGGAGGGGGGGGGGGGGGGGGGTCGCGGCAGCTGTCTGGGTTTCCCGTCATTTCTCCTCTCACTTCCGAGGTCAGGGAGATAGGAGGGGACATGAACAGGTGGCTCCTGAGAAGGCTGGCTGGGATCTGCCCTGATACAAAGACACCACGGATTTGGAAATGAAAGTGCAAGTGGGGGGGCTGGCATGCTGCCCTCGGAAGGAGCTGGTCCTGGTTTTGCTCCTTTCAGGAGTTTTGCACCTGATTAATGATTCTGTTCAAGATGGATTAAGTGCTGGAACCTTTCTCCATTCAGCAGTGCCAGCTCTGTCATCCTCTTAACGCTTTCTTTTTCTAGTCTCAGTCTCTCCCACCCCCAATTTGTTCTGGGGACAAACCATCCGTCTAGGATGAACTGGTTTTCCCCTGGAAGGCCTCGAGAGGATGGAGGTACCCCACAGACTCCTCCCTGAGAAAGGGGTTGAGGACAGAGGAGGCCACAGTTGCGATGAGGAGAGCTCAGGCTCAAAAGCCTCCCTGGACCCCTGACTCTCGGCTTCTCTTGTCTTCCTTAGTAAATTTTAGTCTGGGCCAGGCGTGGTGGCTCACGCTGTAATCCCAGCACTTTGGGAGGCCGAGGTGGGTGGATTGCTTGAGGTCAGGAGTTTGAGACCAGCCTGGCCAACATGGTAAAACCCCGTCTCTATTTTTATTAATTTAAAAACAAACAAATAAATAAATAGGCCGGGCGTGGTGGCTCACACCTGTAATCCAAGCACTTTGGAGGCCAAGGTGGGTGGATCACCTGAGGTCGGGAGTTCAAAACCAGCCTGACCAACATGGTGAAACCTTGTCTTTAAAAAAAAAAAATTAAAAAGAAAAAAAGATTTTAAAAAATAAAATAAATTTCAGTCTGGACAAATATTCTCAATTTCGGGGACAGTTCTTGGCTCTATTCTACTTTCCCCTGAAATGATCAGGAAGAAGGCAGAGAGCAAGCAACTCAACCAAGAAATTGAGGAGGAATTGCTGTTATTCAAGATGTAATAATAATAACGATAGGCCGGGCGCGGTGGCTCATGCCTTTAATCCCAGCACTTTGGGAGGCCAAGGCAGGTGGATCACAAGGTCAGGAGATCAAGACCATCCTGGCTAATATGGTGAAACCCTGTCTCTATATAAATAGTAGTAATAATAGTTCTACAGCCAACACCCCCTGCAGAGGTTAGTCACATTTCCTCCTTTTCTTCTGTCATCTTCTCCCATACCTTCCAGTGTAACATGGGGAGCAGCAAAGCCTCAAAATCATGGCCTCATAATTTTCGCCATCACTGCCATGGATTCTCAGTTTCTTTTCTATTCTTCTCCTTCCTCCAAGAACAAGCATTTAATATGCACTGATCAGCCTTTTGAAAGATTGCTATTCCAGTTTTTTCTTCGTTTGTTAAGACGGGGTCTCACTTTGTCACCCAGGCTGGAGTGCAGTGCCGTGATCTTGGCTCACTGAAGCCTCGACCTCCCAGGTTCAAGCAGTCATCCCACCTCAGCCCCCCAAGTTGCTGTTCCTATTGGACAGCTGTCAAAGTGAGCTTCTGATTGGACCTTGGTTATTTGGGGTGATAGAGAAGCAGTAAAAAGATAGGAGAGGCCGGGCGCAGTGGCTCATACCTGTAATCCCAGCACTTTGGGAGGCCAAGGAGGGCGGATCACCTGAGGTCGGGAGTTGGAGACCAGCGTGATCAACATGGAGAAACCCCGTCTCTACTAAAAATACAAAATTAGCCGGGTGTGGTGGCGCATGCCTGCAATTCCAGCCACTTGAGAAGCTGAGGAGTATTCTGCGTTGTGGCCACAGCAACCTCGGTTTGTATCAGAGTCACGGCACCAAAAAAAAAAAAAAAAAAGAGAGAGAGAGAAGCTGAGGTAGGAGAATCACTTGAACCTGACAGGCGGAGGTTGCAGTGAGCCGAGATCCCGCCATTGTACTCCAGCCTGGGCAACAAGAGCAAAACTCCATTATCAAAAAAAAAAAAAAAAGATAGGAGAGCTTGGTCTTCGCCTTTGATTCTCTCCGATCCTGCTGCAGCCCCTGTTTTCAACACCACTTTCTCCTTGTCTCTGCCTGCCCCTCCCCCTGCCGTGTGCCCCCCAGTCTCCCTCGCCAAGTTCCAAGTTGTTCTTTATTCAGCTGGGATCCAAGGATCTCCCTCCAGAGAAAGCGGATCATTGCCGGCTCCTCCGAGGCCCGGAGTGCCAAGTCCTGCCCCCGGCACAATGGTCCTTTATACCTCGCTGTGAGCTCCTTCCTGGCCCCAGCTGCCCCCATGCCCTGTTTTTCCTCACTCTTTTCTTCAGTATTTTTTTTCCAGTTGACTTAGTTATTACAGTACATAGGCTGGGGAGGAAAGCTCCGGATCCTGGCCGTGGGACACAGAGTCTGAGAGCAAGGGTGGCTCCCTGGCCCTGCCATGGAGCTACCAGGAGGTGATCGGTCACATTCCTCCACACAGGGCCCTGGGCTCACTTTGCTTTCCTGGCTGGGGACAGAGGCAGGGCTTGTCTCCTGATAGCCAGCTTCCCTGTAGGGTCCTGGCCCCTGTCAGCCTAGAACATTTCCACAAACAGAACTGAGTACTGAGTGGTGAGTGGGTGAGGCCATCGTTTCTCAACTTCAGGTTAGGATGAAGTATAATAAATAAGATTGACAGCTGGGTACGGTGGCTCATGCCTGTAATCCCAGAACTTTGGGGGGCCGAGGCAGGGAATCACCTGAAGTCAGGAGTTCGAGCCTGACCAATATGGTGAAACCCCATCTCTACTAAAAATGCAAAAATTAGCTGGGCATGGTGGTGCATGCCTATAATCCCAGCTACTCAGGAGGCTGAGGCAGGAGAAGTCCTTGAACTCAGGAGGCAGAGGTTGCAGTGAGCCGATATTGTGTCATTGCACTCCAGCCTGGGTGACAAAGTGAGACTCCGTCTCAAAAATAATAACAACAATAATAAATAAAGTTGACACATTAAAGAAAGAAAATGGCTCCAGTTAAAAGAAAGGGCTTGAAGCTGGGTATGGTGGCTCACATCTGTAATCCTAACACTTTGGGAGGCCACGGCCTGAGGATTGCTTGAGCCCAGGAGTTTGAGACTGGCTTGGGCAACATAGTGAGACCCCTGTCTCTGTTAAAAAACAACAATATCAATTGAGGTCAAGAGTTCGAGACCAGCCTGGCCAACATGGTAAAACCCTGTCTCTACTAAAAAAATACAAAAATTGGGCCGGGCGTGGTGGCTCATGCCTATAATCCCAGCACTTTGGGAGGCCGAGGTGGGTGGATCATGAGGTCAAGAGATCGAGACCATCCTGGTCAATGAGATGAAACCCCATCTCTACTAAAAATACAAAAATTAGCTGGGCATGGTGGTGTGCGCCTGTAGTCCCGGCTACTCGGGAAGCTGAGGCAGGAGAATTGCTTGAACCCAGAAGGCGGAGGTTGCGGTGAGCCAAGATCGCACCATTGCACTCCAGTCTGGGTAACAACAGCAAAACTCCGTCTCAAAAAACAAACAAATAAACAAAAATTAGGCCAGGTGCAATCACTCATGCCGGTAATCCCAGCACTTTGGGAGGCAGAGGTGGGTGGATCACCTGAGGTCGGGAGTTTGATACCAACCTGACTGACATGATGGAACCCTGTCTCTACTAAAAATACAAAACATTAGCTGGGTGTGGTGTTGCACACCTTTAATCCCAGCTACTTGGGAGGCTGAGGTAGGAGAATTGCATGAACCTGGGAGGCTGAGGTTGCAGTGAGCCGAGATTGTGCCATTACACTCCAGCCTGGGTGACGAGACTGAAAATCTGTCTCAAAAAACCAAAAAATAAAAGTTAGCCAGACGTAGTGAAACACACCTGTAGTGCCAGTTACTTGGGAGGCTGAGGCAGGAGAATCACTTGGATCCAGGAGGTGGAGGTTGCTGTAAGCCGAGTGAGATTGCACCACTGCACTCCAGCTTGGGTGACTGGGAGACGGAGTGAGAGTCCACTTCAAAAAAAAAAAAAAAAAGAGCACAACAATAACTGGACACAGTGGCCCACTCCTATAATCCCAGCACTTTGGGAGGCCAAGGTGGGCAGATACTTGAAGCCAGGAGTTCAAGACCAGCCTGACCAACATGGTGAAGCCCCATCTCTACTAAAAAAAATACAAAAATTAACCAGGTGTGGTGGTGAGTACCTGTAGCCTCAGGTACTTGGGAGGCTAAGGCAGAAGAATCGCTTGAACCCAGGAGGCGGAGGTTGCAGTGAGCCGAGATCAGGCCACTGCACTCCAGTCTGGGTGACAAAGAGAGACACCATCTCAAATAAATAAATAAATAAATAAATAAAATAACTTCTTAAAAAGTAACAATAATAAATAATAAAGAGAAGCAGCTGATGTTGGAGTAGATGAACGCAAAGCTGCCACGACCAGAAACTTGGAAAAGTTCTGTCTGTGCAGGGGACTGACCAGCCAGAGGTGTCACCTCCTGCCCTGGCCACCAGGAGCCTGGAGGTAAGACTGATCCAGGCCCCTTTCAACTCAGAGATTTGACTTCCTCCCTCCCTCTTGTTTACGAGGCATTACCAGAACTTCCAAGAGCTACAAAGGGTGGTGTTGATGTGAAACATCTGCTTGCTTTCTTTTTTTTTTTTTGAGACGGAGTTTTGCTCTTGTTACCCAGGCTGGAGTGCAATGGCGCGATCTCGGCTCACCGCAACCTCTGCCTTCTGGGTTCAGGCAATTCTCCTGCCTCAGCCTCCCAAGTAGCTGGGACTACAGGCGCGCACCACCATGCCCAGCTAATTTTTTTGTATTTTTAGTAGAGACGGGGGTTTCACCTTGTTGACCAGGATGGTCTTGATCTCTTGACCTCGTGATCCACCCACCTCAGCCTCCCAAAGTGCTGTGATTATAGGCGTGAGCCACCGCGCCTGGCCAACATCCGATTTCAATTTTTTTTCTTTAAGCTTTTTAAGTTTGTAGTCAGAAAACTGGGGTGACGGGGCCTGGTGCAATGTGGCTCACACCTGTAATCCCAGTACTTTGGGAGTCTGAGACAGGCAAATCATGAGGTCAGGAGATTGAGACCATCCAGGCCAACATGGTGAAACCCTGTCTCTACTAAAAATACAAAAAAATTAGCTGGGCGTAGTGGCAGGCACCTGTAGTCCCAGCTACACAGGAGGCTGAGGCAGGAGAATTGTAAGAGGTGGAGGTTGCAGTGAGTTGAGATCGAGTCACTGCACTCCAGCCTAGAGACAGAGTGAAACTCTACCTTTTTTTTTTTTTGAGATGGAGTTTCGCTCTTGTTACCCAGGCTGGAGTGCAATGGCGCAATCTCGGCTCACCGCAACCTCCACCTCCTGGGTTCAAGCAATTCTCCTGCCTCAGCCTCCTGAGTAGCTGGGATTACAGGCACACACCACCATGCCCAGCTAATTTTTTGTATTTTTAGTAGAGATGGGGTTTCACCATGTTAACCAGGATGGTCTTGATCTGTTGACCTCGTGATCTACCCGCCTCGGCCTCCCAAAGTGCTGGGATTATAGGCGTGAGCCACCGCTCCCGGTCTTTGAAACTCTATCTTAAAAAAAAGAAAAAGTCAAAAAAAAAAAAAGAGAAAACTGGGGCTTCCTTTCTGAGGTCCTGATTTCAGGGAGAAAATGGAAAAGGCTAACAGGGACAACCAAGATCAGCCAGAACAACTTTCACTACCATGTTCGTTTCCCCTCATTTAGGTACTCGTGAATATTTGCAGGGTACATCGCCTGAGGACTAGGAGCATGTGACTGATAGGTATTGCAGCTGACACCATGGAAAGAGAGTGGAGGGGGACCAGGGGAACATTTTTAGGTGTGATGCTATAAAACTCATTCAGAATGTTGGGCACAATTGAAAAACACCGTCGGACAGGCACAGTGGCTCACACCTGTAATCCCAGCACTTTTGGAGGCTGCGGTGGGCAGATCACTTGAGGTCAGGAGTTCGAGACCAGCCTGACCAACACGGTGAAACCCCATCTCTACTAAAAATATAAAAATTAGCCGGGCTTGGTGGCGAGCGCCTGTATTCCCAGCTACTCAGGAGGCTGAGGCAGGAGAATCGCTTGAATCTAGGGTCCTGGCCCCTGTCAGCCTAGAACATTTCCACAAACAGAACTGAGTACTGAGTGGTGAGTGGGTGAGGCCATCGTTTCTCAACTTCAGGTTAGGATGAAGTATAATAAATAAGATTGACAGCACACGGCAGGGGGAGGGGCAGGCAGAGACAAGGAGAAAGTGGTGTTGAAAACAGGGGCTGCAGCAGGATCGGAGAGAATCAAAGGTGAAGACCAAGCTCTCCTATCTTTTTTTTTTTTTTGATAATGGAGTTTTGCTCTTGTTGCCCAGGCTGGAGTACAATGGCGGGATCTCGGCTCACTGCAACCTCCGCCTGTCAGGTTCAAGTGATTCTCCTACCTCAGCTTCTCTCTCTCTCTTTTTTTTTTTTTTTTTGGTGCCGTGACTCTGATACAAACCGAGGTTGCTGTGGCCACAACGCAGAATACTCCTCAGCTTCTCAAGTGGCTGGAATTGCAGGCATGCGCCACCACACCCGGCTAGGATCTAGGAGGCTGAGGTTGCAGTGAGCCAAGTGGAGTGCACCAAAAACAAACCAAAAACCAAAAACAAAAAATACCATCACCGCCACCACCTGCCCTGGGATGAGAAAGGTGATTGTAACCCAGGTTTAGGAGACGGCCATTGCCGGGATGCCTGGGTGGCTGGAGGTGAGGCCGATACTGGTAAGCACTGCTCTATACTGCACACAAAAACATTTAACCACATCTCTACCCGTCTTTAAATAGATGCTGCTCCATCTCTCCCCACACCCCAAAATCTGTCTCTTCTGGCCCCCTTCTAGGGACCTCCTGGAGCTTCTTAAAATCCAGCTGCTAAAGGGCTAAGTCTGGCATAGCTGAGGTCCAGGACCTTGTTTCAGAGTTAAATCTGGTATCCGTTGTCAGACATTTTGAATAGTGCCCCTGCTTATCCCAATGACTGTAATATGTGTTGGCAGAGGCATCTGGAAGGAGCTTTGCTGTGGCAATGCTTGAAGGCTGATCCACTGAATCTGAGAGTGAGTTCTGGTACATGGGAGGGGGGGCCATGGCATGAAACCCGTTCCTAGACATCAAAATTTGATTTATTAACTTTGGCAACAGATACAGGCCATCTTGCCAACAAACTTTCTGAAATTGAAATCGCATGAAACTTTCCTAGTTCCTCCTGCTAGTGCCGCATACGCCCTTTTCTTTCTAAGGCAGCAAATTCACTTAAAAATAATTAAAAAAAGATTGATGGGATTTTGGAATTGTAATGAAAAATATGATCTCATTAGTGAGTCATGAGTCAGGGCCAGGCACTCTGTCAGAGGTACGCAGTTCTGCATAATTAGAAGCTGATGCGAAGAGAGCTAATAATGGCATGAATTAAAAAATTAAAATGGTTTCCCTTTATACTTTTTTGGCTGTGCTAAAATCCTTCCTTTTGCAAAGATTCAGAAAGAGATCTCTTTCAAAAGACCCTATCACATGCAACCGAGTTGGTGACGAACCAAATGGTGGTGAAAGAATTATAAGGGTGGCCGGGCGCGGTGGCTCACATCTGTAATCCCAGCACTTTGGGAGGCTGAGGCAGCTGGATCGCCTGAGGTTAGGAGTTCAAGACCAGCCTGACCAATATGGTGAAACCCTGTCTCTACTAAAAATTCAAAAGTTAGCCGGGTGTGGTGGCGTGCGCCTGTAGTCCCTAGTCCCAGCTACTCAGGAGGATGAGACAGGAAAATCGCTTGAACCTGGGAAGGCGGAGGGTGCAGTGAGCCATGATCGCAGCACTGCACTCCAACCTGGACAGAGCAAGAATACATCTCTAAGAGAAAAAAAAAGAATTGAAAGGGCTAAATGGAGTGCCACTAAATCCCCGGGGGAATTCTCATTTAGCCCACAAGTCCAGGGTGAGAACTGCTCTAATTCACTTGTCTTCAAGAGGGTAAATACACACCTGAGGGGAATGTTTTGAAAAGAGCCACTGGCTTAATCGTGTAAATGCCACATCGTCTCTGACTTAACCACAGCATAAATCAAACAGTTACCCAGCAGAAGCAGGATTCATGCTTTTCCAGGCAACAGTGAGTTTGGAGTGAGACACAGCGGGCAGCACCCTCACCTCTGCCGCTTCGGGCGGGGTGACCCTGACTGACGGCATTAGTCTAAGCCGTGATTTCCTCATTTGTAAAAACGAGAATAAGGAAACTAGCCTCTCAGGTTTATTGCAGAAACAAAATCACATAACATTTAGAGGGCAGGCATTCATTAAACATCATTTCTGCTTTCATGAAAAATGTTGCAGAGGAAACAAACAAAATGTATCTTTTTCTTTTTTTTTTGAGACAGAGT